GTTAGTTCATTCTACTCAGGGCTTCAGTTACTGACATTATCGCCACGCAAATCGGCAGTCTAACTCTGATGCTTCGAACTTGAATTGGCCACACGGATTTTTTCGATTGAATTTTAGCCCCATTTCTCATTCAAAAGATTCCGTCTGCCGAATCCATCAGCTAACCCAAGAAACCATCAAATGAAAGACGCAGCGTGATCGTTCTTCAAGTCAATTTTCGTGAATGAAAAAAAGGATTGTCATACATCTGAGTACATGTGGTAAAAGCGAAAACCCATAAGCTCTTCCATATGATTTCCGAAGCCTTTTCCGCGCAAATAACCGCATTCACGCGACTATACGCCGCATTCCCAGATTTCGGAATATTTACCTGTGGAAATTACATAACTGCCAAAAAAATGAATGAACAGGATGCGACCAACAATCGTGAAAATGCGGTAAATGAGCAGTGTTCTGACATATTCGTCGCAAGCAAACGGGCATTCTGATTCAACTCAATACAGTTTGCATAATGATTACTATCTCCATGTGATCGGAAATAGTTCCTCAGACCTTCACGCTTGAACATCGCAAGTCCGTGATGCGATTTTAATTTTTTCAGTCCGCACTCCGCAATGGACAACCCGACCCACAGCGCAAAAATAAAAACCCTTTTCCTTTTTTTTCAAGAAACGTATACAGTATACATAACGAGAATGAAGCGAATAACCATGGCTGTTCTTCACAGGTACAGTGCTAACGAAGATGGATAGGTTCCCGACACGTCGTGAGAATCGGCACTACTCCATAACCGATCGCAGAGTCCCGAAATCGTTTCCTTTGACACATACGGGCATGAGCATGAAACAGTCACACACACACACACACAAACACATACGGACACACATACATACACACATACATAAGCTACATGCGTCCAGAAGCCGGTCGACTCAAGCCACGTCATCCCGATGAAACCGACTGTTGACATGGTTGAGGTAATGGTCTTTGCGATAGAAGAACTTGCGGCAGGGGAAGCACGTGAACCGGGGCTTTTTCACGCCCTGCTCGATGTCGTGTTTCCAGCGATGGCGCGCATAAGAGCCCTGCGTCATCACCTGGGTGCAGTCGGGACACTGCACATAAATCGGTCTACGCGAGCTCTGGCCGGCGCCGTGCTGCAAACGAAATCGGTCAGTCGCCAATCAAACAAACACAACCACAGGCTCGTCGGCAGGTTCGAGTGCAATCGTCAGTCAGTCAAACAAGCGTCGCAGAAAAACAGTCCGCGGTTGCGGGAGGAGGGGGGGGAGAGGGAGGCATCATCATCATCATCAAGCTTTTTTTTCCACGACAACCTTTTTTCCACCCCCGGGCCCGAATCTCTCTCGCGCACACCCTCGTTAACCATGCCGCAATTACGGACTGGAACGGAAAACGCCCGAGATTACAAACGCTACTTTCCCGCGCCACAACTCAACCCCGACGTCGGGGTGCTGCTATGAAGCTGACAAAAAAAAAAAACACGAACCAGCAGAACTTAAATAGAGAAAAGAAACAAAAGAGCTCGCGACCCGATCACACATTCGAATTCCCTCTCGGATGAAATCGGGCTGATAATAACCGGAGAAATATAATTTCCGTTCGTGATTGCTTTCCCTCCTCGGTGTTCGAAATTGAATAAAAAATATATATGTTCTTCCAGAGCGACGTGCGCAAGAGAGAGATTCGCGGCCGGAGTATCTCAACATCCTCACAAATACGTGAGGAAATTCAGGAGAAAAAAAGGGGAAACGAAACTGGAACGCTTGAGCAACGCAAAAACAAAAAACAAATAGCATAGAACCTTTTCACTGCACCTCCTGCGAAACTCAGAACGACCCATGACGCGAAACAAACACACTCTCGCCCCCGGTGCAAAAGGTGCGCCAGGAAAAACGCTCAGCTGAACACAAAACTACTTTGCAATGCAAATAATCAGTGCGAATTCTTGAACTGGTGCAACGAAATAAAAACCCCCAAACGAAAACAAAAATAGTGAGGACTGCATCGTGAGGAAAACGGTGTGAAAATCACATTGCTCCCCTGATAAAGAAAAAACAAAATGTGCGAAGCGAAAAAATTCCAAGAAATTTCAAATAAGATGCACGCTCAGTTTTTAATTTTTTTTTGTCTTCCTCTGGCGAGAATTGTCAAGCGAAGCTGTTTGCATTTCTTGTCTCGGGCTAAAATCAGGGATCAGGGGTTTGGGCCACGTGGCCAGTGGCCCGTCATCCGAATGGAAGGACGAAGGAGTCGTCATCGTCGTCACCTTTCCCACCTGCCCTCGCATTCCCCGCTTTCCCAGCGTCCCGCTTCGCCGCCGTCGAAAACCGGGTCTCGGCTCAGTGACGTTTTCGGGTTTCACCCAAAAACGCGGCTTCCGTAACTCCCGCTCACCCGACGCAATCAAATCACGTCTCCCCCAAACCTGATCGAAAGTCCTTCCAATTCTACTGCCATCAAAATAACTCGCGCATGCGCATCACTTTCTTGCATCTCTCCTTTTCCTCGAAAACAACAAATACTGTACTTGTACTTCCACCTGGCGAATTTAACGTGAATGTAAGCCAGACCCTCAGACAGGTGGAAAATGTTTGATGGCGAATCTAAGAAGGACCACTGTCACTTGCTTTACTTGATGGCAGATGACTAAATTTTACAAGGTGACTCAAAGAGTGAAGCACTTTCAAAATGACAACAGATTACAGTACAGTACTTTAAATCCGGGTGAACAATAATAAATTCTAGATAGAGACTAACTTTAAATTTCTTTGAGTGAATTTAACTCGAAGCGTCTGACTGTAAAGTAATTCATTACACGCACGACCTGTACGACCATGTATGTCCATTCGAAAATGCTTACCAAAAGGAACATTTTTTTTTCTACATATGCATTTTGAACTGTCAATATCACGAACTCAACTTCAGATCATGATTTTAAGGCATTTATCCTCCACGGTAGAAAAAGTTCAAAGATTATTTTCGCCATTTGAATTTATCAACACGCACCATATCAAAAATTAGCATTTTAAAGGGCACCGCTAAGATGCCATCAATTGTAACTTTTATAAGGCATATTATTTTTGTTGAGTCCGAGCGGGTATGAGTCAATTTCGCACCAATAAGTTCTCTGACCTGTACTAATCTATATCTCCAATATATTTATCTAATCGACCCTTTTTTTCAAGAATAATCCTTCCAGGACTTTAGAAACTGATCCGTCAAAACAGGGATTGTACGTTGAAATTGTTGAGTCAGCCTTTTTCTTCGGACACGCATTCGAAAAAGAAGATTTCTCGACGGCAACGCGATCAGAATTTCCGAGTGCCGAAAACCGATGGATGACGACGTTTCCGTGTATTGACGAGCAAAACAATGAAGCGAAGTGTCGCTCAAGGCCGAATTAAATACGCATAAACGAGCATTAATATTTGTGTAACTATAGGCCAACTGAGGATTAGGCATACTGTATGCCAAAATTAAGCCGATGAAATCCATCAAAAATGCCAAAATAAAAGCTCACTTCATTTTCTACGGTTCCTTTATTAGCAAAGATGGGTCAATCAAGTAATTGCTGGACTAATCATGCTTCCGAACTGAAGATTGAGTTTTTAACGAGCCGTACTTCGAAAGAAATTCGATGAAGTCGTTTCAACCACAACTAAAACTACACTTCACAGTACTGTCCTATGTTTCACGCCTGACCATAAATTACGTCAAGCTGCATTGGGCAAGAACGCTCTCTTAAAATTATTTGATATTACGCGGAAATAACAACATGTATATGAGGGTGATTTGATTTCAAGCATTTCGCAAATCAAATTACGTATTGCTCATTAAAGATGATCCCTTTTCGTATTCCTCAGCCTTCGTGAGTTATCCTCACGTTCTGTCGTCCCGCCTGATTGCGATAAAAGTTGTTGAATAAAAATCATACGCTGGTTTATACTTTAAGTAACGTGGGAACGATATTAAATACTGCAGTTCTTTCTGAGTGCCTCACTCAGTCAGAACTTGTCTAATTGACATGGTACCATTATCACCTGTTCTCCAATTTCATATGCATCGTCAGGGAGATCTTCAATTATAGCTTCAAATGCCATCGTTTCAAATGTTGCCATTTTGATTATTATTGAAAGCGAACTTCGAAAGAAATGTACTGTACTACAGTATTCTAAAAGTCAAAATCAAGGCATTTTTTGAAATTGGCAAGCCACCATAAAAATTACGTCGAACAGAACATGACCGCGTGAGAGCTATTCTCTATTTCACATTGCTCATCTCCATCTCAACTCTGGGAGTTGAAAAAAAATTTTGGTTTTTTAAAATAATTGAGCAATGCATCGATATTCTGACTGAGTGGTGCACGGTGACCGACGACCGGAAATTATTACTAGGATGTATCGAAACTAATACGAGTCGAAGGTGGCGATTGCAGCAATCAGACTGATCACGATTCCTCTGTTTAAGCGGTAACTTCCAAAGCTGTAACTCTTCAAACTTTTCCATTATTGAACAGGAAATGGTGAAATGGCTTTTTCATTTGGATTCCAGGCTCCGTTTCGAAGCAAAAACTTTTCTCGTACATTCTAGGACGTTCACGAGGAGCCCAGGATTCTCCGCGGAACATGAAGCGAGTGCATCTACTTCAGAATTATTTTTAGCCTCATACTCGCGTTGATCGAAAGCAATCATGGAAATCCACCAACGAATAAAAAACGCTGCTAAATGTAAGATGCCATTGAATATAAGACGCAAGCTGTTTCATTAAAGCCCATTTTGGCGAAGAAAATGCTCTTCATATTTGAGCAAATACACATGGAATTGGAGAACAAGAGCGAGAGAGAGACGGGGGAAACAGTACTACTAGAATTTCGGCCTCGAATCATCGACACAAGTCCACGTCACAGAGGGGGGGAGAAAAAAAGACCTCCCCCCTCTGCCTCCATCTGATGACGTGGGCTGTTCTCGCCCGCTCGTCAATACGCCCGGCTCTTCGTCGGCAATTTCCCACCTCGCGGGGCACCGACAGGTTTCGCAGCGCACTGCTCCCCCGAAAAAAAAAATAAAAGTAATAACAAGAAAATGCCTGTAAAACCCTTCGTGTCGACGATTTGACACGCAGACGGGCTATTCCTACTGATTCCTCCACGTGGCAGTCGTACGTCCATAATGTCATCATCAAACGCCGTTCAACTCCGCAAATGACTCGCGAGCCGCGGAGCAGTTCTCGTTAATTTATTTTTCTGCTCCATTTCCAATCGAATTTTTTGAAAATCAAACACCGTTTTGCGACGTTCATCCGAGAATATTAGCTCATGACGAGCTATCATCAGCGGACAATCATAAGACCATAAGAGACTCGATTGCATTTATTTTTTTCTGATTAACCGTCGAATTCGATGAAGAAAACGCCACTGATTCCAGGGTTGTCGGAAATAAAGATGACTGGACGCCGTGCAACAAACGTTAAAATCCGTGTCCTGCGTAATCCTCACGCCGAAAAAAAAAAAACAAGACCCGAGGTTTTCAGGCATTCCGATGGGGAAGTCCGAAAGCGCAGCGATACGGGGAAGAAAAACCCGGAATACAATCGCCCAGGACTAGTTCCCACGACCGAGACGACTCCTTTCTTTTCCATTCCGATTCGCGTCCCTCTGTTGACAGGGTACGGGGGACAAGGAGGAGGAGGAGGGGGGGAACTGGGGACAAATGTGACACTCACCATGACGTCGCCGGGGTTCTCACCGACGTCGGAAGCAAGATCCGCGCGTGGCTTCAGGTCCACGCCATCCAACGCGTTCCCTTCGTCGCCACTAGGTACATCGTCGTCCACGTCTTCGATATCATCGTCCAGATCGTCTTCTTCGTCGTCTATGTCCGCCACTTCCGTCTTTAACTGCACACAAAAAAAATACAAAGAATTCATGTCCGGGGTTTTCTCGACAACAGCAGTTCTTTTCAGGACAGTGGACACGCAAACTGGATGAATTTGGCTTGAAATACAATGAAATCTCGTCACAGCGAACCTTTAGGGACTTCAGAAAAAGTTCTTTCACTGAATAATGTGTTACGAGATTTTAAAAAGTAATGAAGTAAAAAATCAGACCTGTTTATACATTAATCAATTATATCTTGCTTTTCTGGCATTCTCAAATTTTCATCATTGATTGAGAAACAAGTGATCTGAAGAAGAAAAATTATAGTTTCAACCACGCATTGTATCAGTTGAACCTATACCTTCATTCTCGGAAGATTGAATTTGGAACCACCAGGAAGCATTTTTGTCATTCATTACAGCTTTCATCTAAGCTAAAAAGGACCAGGCAGTCATATTTAGATTTTTTAATTCAGACTGTTTCAGCTTTGGTCATGAAACTTCTACCTGGAGAATCTATTAAAATTGAACATTCCAATTTTGATATACAGTACAGAAATTGAGAAGTTTCTAATGACGAGATTGCTTTAACACGTGCTCTATGGGCTTTCTGTCGTGATTGAAAGAAAGTTTGTTGCACTGACAAATTTGTTGCATCAATACTTCACTGTAGTAAAAAGCTTTTCCTTTTGGGGGGGGGGGGGATTACTACGGAGTACAGATTGATGCAATTTTCGGCCAACACCGAAGTCCCTCGCCTCAGGGATCCAAAAATTCAACCAACTACATTACTACAGTATTATATACTAACTACCAATCCCTTGAGGTTGAGCACAGAACGAAGTGTTGACTCCACTAAACAGGACTGTATTTCATATTTGGCCTCTGATGATTAATCTTCTCTTGAATGTACAGAATCATCCATCAAATATTGTACTTTCATCGCCTAGTTTCATGCTCGGTTATGGACAAATACCCGAACAGTACTTCACGGATCATTCCACTTATCACCAGGCAAGTACCATAAATACCATCAGCGGTACGCGTAATACCGGTTGAGATCCATCAGTGGTACGCGTACCTTAGGCTTTAGGATCTATAGAATCTTGCTTTTGGAAAATTGAATGCTATCTTACTACTGTGCTATTGTCGCAGATGTTCATGGGCGAATAACTAACGAGTGGTTTTTTTTCTTCTATAGAATCGATGACAAGTCAATATCGACGCAGAACGACTTTCGGAGTACGAAAATATAGGGACCTAAATCCGTTCGTAAGATTTTCCGAAGTTCAACGATTTGCAAACATTTGTCAATCAACCTGGCCATGAAGATTACTATTCGAATGCCTCAACAGTTCATTTGTGGGACGAGAAAAATTCTCCAAGACTGGTTATTCACTGGGGACTCGTTGCACAGTGATTCAAATCACGTCGCACTTGTTCACAACAGTATCTAGTGCCAACAGACCGAAAATCAACTCAAATTAGGGACATCGCACTGAACATCTGTTCTTGTACACAACGCAACATACATTTAAGATTCTACTTCACGGTTGAATCTTTCAACCGCAGTTGGTTCGCTTCGTCCTTCATGAAAGCACATGAACTTCATCCTTTTACCCCTTTCATTTGATTAACCCACATTTTCATTCGATTCCGCCGCTCAATTTCTTATTTTTTCATCCCAGTAGAACTTCAGCCATTCGAGATATTGATCGGGTGTTAGTGCTCGGATAAATAAAAAGTTGAAAATTAAATTCAACAGATTTAAAAAAGTGATGACATGATATCACCGAGATTCCCGAGAATTTCGGCGCGTTATCCCGGATAATCAGTTGATCACGGGGAAATAAAGCGGCTCATTTCGGAATTACGAGATATGCAAGCCGCTTTCTCTCGTCGAAAAGTCTGAGTGAATCAATATTTGAACACAGTTAATCGAATACACAGTTAATCTCAGTTCGGATAATCGGACTTGCATAGTACAATACAATAGTTTAAAAATATACTGTATTCAGACCTGATGAAACATCACGTCCCACCGGTAGCAGACAGTAATACTGTAGTTGAAACGCCCAGCTGAAGATGGAAGGGAGGAAAGCTTCTGCACTAAGTGCTGACCAAAGTTGCTGAGTTAAGCGTTATTTCAACTTTGGAGAAACCCGGTTTCGGAGTAGGAGATGCTCAGTATTTCGGAAATCAGAAAAGGGGAAGTGCAGACTTGGTCAAACGATAAAGCGAGAAAGAAGGAAAGGAAGGAAGGAAGAGAGAGAGAGAGAGATAAAGGAATCGGGATAACACTGACCCATCTACTCGCTTCCGGCGGGTGGTCGCCGTAGTCAAACTCCATGCTGTCCTCGGCCGACTCTTCGGTCTCGTGGTTGTTGGCGGTGGGCGTGGAGTTGGCGCCGGACGCGGAGCCGGAGTTGGTGGCACTCCCGTCCTCCGCGGCGCCCTTGTTGTTCTCGTCGCCGTTCGTCACGGAAGTACTTTGGACATCTCTATCACATTGGTTTTCGCCATCGGGCATCACAGGGTGCGGGGAGTTGGACGGCTTTCGTCCGCCCTGGCCCTGACTCTCGCCGCCGCTTTCGTGACTGTCGTCCACGCGCGACGTGGACGACACCGGGCTATCACTCTTGCGCTTCTTCACCCGCGCTGCCCACATCCCGTCGTCGGGGCACGGGCGCTTCTCGCAAGTGGCGCCGTCGCCATGGACCATCGTCTAAACCAGGAATAAATAATTCCACATCTTTATTTCAGAGGTTCTCCCCCCTAAACTTTCCAGGGGCCCTACCGAGAATGGAATTGAATGCCGATATACAAAACCATGCTAGGACTACTAAATCTGCTAATCAAGTTAACAGAATCCATGCCGAATACGGGTGGACTCTCTACAACGAAAATCACGGGACCCTAAAAAAATTCGTTGTTGAGAACCTCTATAATATGGGTAGAGGCACCTATGGGAACACAACAAAATTCGGTACACAGAGAACATTTTTGTAGATAAAATCGTTGCAGAGAGAGTCTACCATTATTACATCATGTGAATGTATCCTGTAAACGGGCTCCTTTCAAGAAATATTTCTTAAAGGGGATCCGCGAAACTAAACGTCCTCTACTATAAAATTCCGCACACGGAACATTACGCAAGCAGATTTAGTTTAGCGAGACTAGATTACACGTACTCCAGACTTCTTCGGAAGAACAAGATTCTTCACAATAAATTACAGTACAGAACAGTGTTTACCTCTGGAGTGCATTCTGTGTTCGTTAGCAGCCGAGATGAGCAACGAGGTGATTAAAAGATATGCATTCAGAAAAATGACTAACTTCAGCTGAATTTCGGCATTCATTTCGCACAGCAAGAAGGTAGAAAAAACTTTGCTATCAACATCCAGCGGAAAAATTTACACTTCTACGTCGTTTCACCAACTCCCGGCCAAACGAATGCACAAGATCCTAAAAATTAGCTTTCGAGAATTCCGAGGATCAAGAATACGTCCTAGGCTATGAATTAGGCAACGTGAAAAATTCGCTGAGAGTTTTCATTTTATCTTCAAGATCCTCCTTGCACTGTTCTTTCCTTCATTCGCATAAGCCCACATTTACTCAACGAAAGCTAGAATATATGAGACCGGGATTTTAATATACCGTAGATTGTTACAGCTAGTTGGAAACAAGTTAATTGATAGGTTAGGAGATTTTTGGTAGGGTACAAGTTCATGCTTTAGTAGGTTCGTGTGATTGAGCGAAATCGTTTTCTCATCGAAACATGAAAATGCAATATAATAGAAATCCATTCATCGCGGATGACCGGTTTATTTTTCTCCGATAGTCAATATTAACACAGCTAGAAAATCTTACATAATCAAAATCTGCACTAAAACAAAGCAAAAACTGCATAACTTATTCCTAGACCGGTGACTTTTCCACAAATTCACAAGAGTGTCAGGACGGATGAATAGGCAATCATCTAAAACTAAGCGGCTTAAGATAACCACGTTGCTTTGTTTCTTCTCAGTGCGTCGAAATACTGGCATCGTTAATCAGAGCTTGGTTAAACGGATTTAAATGCACTTACGGAATAGGGGGCGTGGGTCAGTTACAGTAAACTTATTTGGATGAAAGGGTTCTCGTATCGCAAGGAAATAATGAAAACTAACCACAACGTGGAAACACAGATTTCCCACAGCGATTGTTACTTGATAGCACATAAAATAAGATCCCGAAGCATTCCTAGACGTTCCTTGAGAACAGAACATTGTACTAACCCGCGTCCGGTCCTCGTTGGTTACGGTGGCCAGACCCTTGATTTGTAGAACGTGGGCTAACTGAAGCAGCGGGCCTAAATCCTCGTGCATGACGTCGATGTGGCCGCGATACATGAACCGCAACAGGGCCTCCAGCTCGTCGCCCTTCACGTCACGCAAGAACACGACGGGTTGCTGGGATACCCGCAGGGCCGGGTCCAAAAACAGGGAATGAAAGTACGGCGAACACGCTGAGAGGACCATCCGGTGCGCCGGGAAATTCCGACCGCCTGGGCACGACAGAGTCACGTCTATGAACGCCTCTTTCTCCCAAAGCTCCTCGAACACGTCCACCAAGTTCACCTGATGGTTCTTCCACTTCAGCGAGTAAAGCTCATTCATTTTGGACCACTCGAGGGGAACCTAACTCAGCTTCATCACCACATTCCCGGTACCAGTTCACAAAATTTAAAATATATACTCTGGAACAGAACATGCGATAAGGTAAGACACCATAACTAAGCCCGCAGCTTACTGGTTCAAAACGACGGTCGAAGTGTGTAACTCCTCGCGGCTATCACAATCACACGTAGAATCATACGGAAATTCAACAGGGTCATCAGAGGGCTGTCGAGACGTGGGATAAGCACCACTAAAATTACTTGTAATTGCCAAACATTCGTAAGAAGCAGCGAAAAATGAAATGAGAAAACGTGTTCCAACTGGTTTGACAATTAAGGTATCCGGGATTATCATCGTGATCCACTCACTAATTTCAGACAAAACGGCCTCATCGACAGAACAAATGAATGCTCAAACGCTATTTTCGCTAGATGGTTATTTACTAATGCCGGTTTTCAGGGGGTTCAAAGTGTTCACAAAAACAATAGGACAATTTGGAAAACGGGCTGATAACCATCACACCACCTGTTTCGTTCTTGTTGTAGCGAAACACGTATAAGATCCTATCAAAGAACCACCATACACAACGATTATAACGAAGTCCGAGAGTGTTAAACGCTCCAACACAAGTTTCACAGTTGATGATAAATTTCACGTATTTCTGCGCAAGCAAGCTTCATGCTTCCAAAGGCAATATTTAGGAAGTTGAAATCACTTGGGCGCGAATACAGTTGATGATTATAAATTTCGATTTGCCAACAGTAGCGACTCCCAAGCCGATACAAACAACTGAATAGTGCACTCCTTCAGCGGTTTGTTCATAGCAGGAGGTAGGCATAGCATCTCCACATAACTCGACACGCAAAACATAACAACCGAACAGTGCTCGGGACCCTCATCTCCACCGGGAACAACCTCTCCGAACAGAACACCCGACACAACTGCAGACCCTGATCCCGTAGTAGGCAGCCATCATGCCCAGTGTGAGTTCTCGTGCGGAGGGGAAGGGGAAGCTGATAAAAGTGCTCATTATTTAAACCAGTCCGCCGTACAAGTTCAATGATCAGTGAATATTTGAGATTCAAATTCAGTTATATATCACGCAGTGACATATAACCGGCCTACCGCCTATAATCTATATACTGTACTGACAATAGCACTCACGGGTTTGGAACAATGAAGTACAGTACAGTACTGTACTGTAAAGTAGGGTTTGTTTGATGGTCGACAAAGAGAGCGTGGTATTTTATTCCAAAATATAATGTGCCTCTGGAAGTCTAGAATGACTGATCAACAACAGCAGTTCCTACGTGTATTTGAAAGTTTTCTCATTTCATTGCAAGTTGTACCTTGCAATTTGGCCTCCCATAATTCAACCTCTGTCCGCAATTCAACCTGCAGAAAGATACAAAACATCAAATGCGATGTAGAAAACAATTCATTTGATTTTGTCTTGCAATTTGACCCTAGTCCAGCAATGGACATTAGGATCGAATTGTGGGGTAGCACCTGTATCTCTGAAGTCCCACCTGGACTCATGGTGAACTCTCCTCAGCGACGCTGAGGTTAGCGTCCATTCTGTTTATTGAGAGCAAAAATTGAGAAAATTCCAACTTCAATTCAGTTAACTTATTTCAAGTCTACTGTTTTCTCGTGTACGGCGCGAGGAAACAGCATCCGATGGTGTTCAGGTTATTTGCAGGGTTATCTTTCAGCTTCCAGCTGTCATCCCAGATGATAAATCGACAACACGGTTTTTCAACATGAAACTGGAGATTTGGCATCATTTGCGAAGGTGTGGTTTCTCATCGTACGCAGAATCCACCAAAAGTGATCTTCAAGTAAGCTAAATCATGAAAGACCGATGCGAACCAATCCACGTCATGAGAGATGAAGAGAGATAAAACTGTCCTGTGGACACATTTTATACGAGGACAAGCGTCAATTGAGCCTCCATAGTTCGTCATGCTTCCTGTCCTCCCGAGGCTCTGTGTTCCTGCTCTGAAACCTATTTAGGTTACGCGTGTTGTGCACCTTCAGTTGTCATGTTCCTGAATTTCCGAAATTATTATGTTCGTGATTATTTTGCTGTCAAATTAGAGTCGATCACCACATACTATGTCTGATACCGCCAGGTAAATTTTTGTGTTAAGTGATGTTACAAGCTCGCACCGATTTTCAGAACGGATGCACATCTAAGTTTTGAGAAACTTTCTCAAAAATGTATCATAAAATCATAAAAAATGTATCATATTGCGCTTATTGCTCCAAAACTATTTTGAATAAAAAGGGCAATTTTGAATAAAAATTTTATTTGCATTAACAATTCTAAACTGGTGTTAGTTCATGTTTTTATGAAAAATCCGATGATTTTGGCTGAGCTTCAATCCAGAGAAAGGCTCAAAGCTCACGAAATACAGTACAGTACAGTATTTATACTGATGCGTGCGTTTTGGAAGATCATGAGCAGCACGCGTTTCAAAATTCTGATCGATTTATGAATTCGGGGTAACTTGGACAGCATTTTAATTATTTCAAGATTAATTTTTTGCGCCTGAGGTCTCCTGGAGAAAATGTTGATTTCTCTATATAGAAATCACCAATCCATCTTCAATTTTGGGATGAAGAGTGTACTGATGTATCATGTGCTTCAGGGATCGAGAGAATAACAAACCTTGAGCACTCTTGCTTCCCATTACGCAGGCATACTTAACTGCAACTCATGGATGATATCATGCTGTATTAGAAACTTATTATCACTGTTTTCTGTACAGGTTTTTCCTGCGGATCAGCCACGCGCGGATGTCCTGAAATTAAATTTTGTATACCTCTGGGATATTAGTATTCTAATAAATGAGATGAATTAGTCCCGTTATTTCTAGTATTTTTTAGGTATTACGATTTCTGTACAAATGGAAGTCAATCACTGGACCGAAATGATCAATAATGTAAGTGAGTTTACTCATAATAATCTGCTCAAGGAGATCGAAATTTTT